TGCGATGTTGAAAGTCACTCAATCTCCCCCACTCTTAGGCGGACATGACGTCACAATTAACTCTTGAAGCGCGCCATCTTTATTCATTTTGTTGTTATTCCTTCGTTTTGTAGTAAATCGAAATCTCGTACTAATGACCGTTCCGACATATAAGACCTGGATCTGTAAATAAGTAAAGTACAACTCAATTGCGTTAAAACGGTCCGCTCCACCGTAAAGGCGGTCAAAATCAAAGTTCAAATCATTATTTTATTTCAATTAGACCACGTAGTCAAAGTCAAAGTCAAAGTCAAATCATTTATTTCAATTAAACCATAGTTTGGTACTTTTGAAACAGTAAGACACTTTTGAACGTCGACAAAAAAATTGAAATCAGCCGGTCAGCCTTCCAATTAAGCTATTGGTTCCTTCCAACTGTACATTTCTATGGAGAAGAACGAGCAAGAAACATTATAAGTTACTTTCAATCAGATTTAAGTAATTACTTATATAGTACGAGGAATTACTTGAAGTAAGCAAATAATTTTATTATACTTGACTTACTTATTTTTGCTTACGTTGGTTTATGAAATTGTACGCGCGCACCTGTTATACTTAGATACTAAATTAATTTAATTTAGCCATTAATTTTTAGTTTTACCTACTTCAGGTTTTATATAAACTTAGACTTTATTTAACTCGTCGAGTACCGGTTTTGTAGACACAATTATAGAACAATAGGTTGCGGTCACCGGTGACCGCTTGGTGTTTGACAGTTTAAGTAATAAGATTTATTTTGTATTCTGGCTTTTACACCAAATAAACATTATTTGTTTATTATTATTTATAACATGACTGCCTCGTTGGCCGAGTGGTCGCAAGTGCGACTGCCGGGCAAGGGGTCTCGGGTTCGATTCCCGGGTCGGGCAAAGTATTACTGGGTTTTAAAAAAATGTCAGTAGTAGCACGGAGTTTGGAAATGTGCCGGGTATATGGCAATAGGCTTACCCCCCTATTACATGGGACTTATAACATAAATAGGGAAAAGTGGGTGTTACATTGTACAGTGGCATTAAGTGCCGAAATGTGCACCTCGGCCTACCCCTTCGGGGATAAAAAGGCGTATTGTTATGTTATGTATTATTTATAACAATTCTTTAGTTACATAGTTTCGTTGGTAAAGACAAATAAACATGAAAATAAGGCTCTATTTCCCTGATCGTATCTCCGGCTGCCGGTGTAAGTCAGTGCCGTACTCCAGCCGTACCTCGCGTGACCCACCTCGTTATATTCTGAACCAAACGCTTCCTTACAAGCCTTTGAAGATTTTCTACAAACTATTCCAGTTGTGTGCCTTTTTATGTTGTTGTTTTTTTTAACTTTACAGACCTACTTATCCTATTTACCCGATAGCAATTGTTTGTTTTTTATTAATGGCTAATTCATCGCGGTTTCACCCACTCTGCTCGGCGTCCTATGGCCTTCCTCGTTGGACTATCCAACAGAAAAAGAATTACTTCAAAATAAATTATTTCGACTGATCAGTACAATAAAATATTAAAAAAACTAATCAACACTTTCATCAATTGATTTTATGACAACTTAATTTTAGTATTTTACCAGCAAATTTTTAACAAATATACAGTATGCTGTTTGACGCTAAGAAACCGTGACGTCACAATACACAATCTCGTACAAAATTCATAGAAAAC